AATAATGATCTGCATATAAAGCTATACGGAACAAGTATATTGAATAAAGCCTACAGTGACTTTTTGGGGATGACAGTAGCAGAACACTGGCTCTAGACCACTGAGCCTGGATCACGGTCCTATACAAGTGCCTCCAATGGTGTATTGATCTAACACTCCTGCTCTTATAAACAGTGCAAAATGTTTAATGACCAAAAGTCATTAGTTCCTCAGTTTAACATCTCATCTAAAGGACAGACTGCCAGGTCAAATAATAATTTTATCAAACAGCCTTTGTCCTTTTTCCCCCACATACTGTAGCTAGGCACCATGTACAGAGATTCTTAAACTGACAAAATCTGTCTGCCGTTTGATAAAACTGTGGCTCCTTTAAACAAAATTGAATTATATTTCAAATATCATGATATGTTTGCACTCTACGAATGACAAGGTGACAAGGTTCTTTGATGCCATGCCCAGATACTGTGCCACAGCATACCAAAATAAATCAAGTACTTAGTCACACTGGTTGATTTTAACTCTAGTCTAAAAACGTAACTTTTTCAGAAAGGCTCTTGTATGATTAACTGCTGTATCTTCTTTGCTTCCTTTGCTCTGGGATTTTCTAAAAATGTAATGTGTAAAGTGCTATAAAGTAAACTAAAGGCTTCATAAAAGAAGGTTTGAAAATCTGCTAAGCAGACCAAAAGAAAACAAAATCTTCAATACATCAAAGCTCTTTTTATAAAGTGAGTAGGTGTCTCTAAAAATGCAGAACCCTTCTTTAAGTCAACACCCTTCCTACAGTAAACCCCAGGTTTAATGGATTGCACATTCACTGCCTTCGGATTCAATGGACAGAATCGGAATTATGTCTGTAAAATCAGAAATACTGGCCTTTCCCAGCAATTACAATGAAATGCACAGATGGTAAATCAAGGTAAAAATAAACACATTGCCCAAGATATAATTCTATAGGTTTAAAATCTAGAAAAATGAATGGTACCCTAGAGCAGTATTTCAATAGCTTCCAATTGTGTTTTGTATGCTTATGCAAATTTTATACCGTATATTTAAGACATTAATCGTATTTATACGTATTATATAGTATATAAGTGTATACAGTATACGTATAAGGCACAAGAACATTCATTGACTGTGCTGTACAGAATTGTTATAACATAAGTAAAAAATACAGAAAGCATATATGTATTACAAATACTGATATAAACCAAGGATTTACTGCACTGTAAAAATGTGCAATATTGTGCACTATAGTGCCACCTAATGGAATTAACCTTGCCAATAGTTTCTTTTCTTCTTAAATGTACTTATAATGTACACTATATTATTCCCACCTTCTTTAACCCACATCGACAGCTGAAAGTCTTTACATATCCAGAAAAACAAATGTGCTATGACTGATTAAGATCCAGATTGTAGCCCCTTGTTGCTTTTCAATAGGCCACGTTGTAGTTTATTGACTTAAAACTTTGAATATTGAGACATTCTTGTTGGTAGGTGCAGTTTTCTGTAAATCAAAGCAGTATAACTAAAGCTCATACATAGGGGAAGATACATTGTTGATCAATCTGTTTATCTGGACATTCTATAGTACCTACAATGTTGATAATTCTGCATTTAATGTAATTAAGATTAGTAAAAGTGAATGAAAAAATCAACTTTAAAGTACACAAACTGCTCTTAAGCATTACAATTTATTTACAATTTTTCATCTTAAATATAAACATAGAACCTTTTAGCATGTTTATTTTAGTTTAAAACTAGTTTTCTCTGTTCCAGTTACTGTCCCTTTAACAGCTCAGATGAAAATGACTTCTGCACTCCCTTTTCCATATGCAATTAATCAAGGTTCTGCGCATATGAACACTCAGAGATAATGGTTACAGTGTACACTTTAGACCTCCTTGCTCATGAGATACCTTACGGCATAACAGTTCTACCTAGTTTTTCCCAACATTTATGTTGTCAAAACTTCTACACTGATTTTTTTGCAAAAGGTGGCTTCAGTGCCACTTTATAGCTCCTGGAAGAGCAGTTTGCTCATTCTCTGAAATGTGAGATAAAAACATTGGCCCACTCCATCTTCTGTGATTAAACTAAGGGAAAATCATTTGAGAGTGATAACAGGAGCAAATGCTTTAGACAAAGGGTTGTGGAAGTCTGGAATAAGTTAACTGGCCATATTGCTGAGGCTGATACCCCACAGTAGATAGTTACATCCAAATAAACTAGTTTGGCCCCTTCTAAGCTGTAACCTCTTATATTCTTCTGAACCCAGGACAAATCACATCACTGTTAACTGTTTTCATACATTGTAGCCAAATCCCTTTCACTTCCATTCTATTCCCACTCTGCGAGAAGAGCATCAGGTTAATGTTAGAAATTAAGAATATAAGTGAAATATTTTGCATAGTAATATACAGAACCAGTCAAAGGTTTGAGCACACCTGCTTGAAACCACGTGTTTCATGATTATCTGTGCTTTAAACTGTATAAACTTGTCTATAAATATTTAATTACATGATATATGTACTTATAATCTTAAATGAACTGCATTGAAAATGTTAATTTTTCAATTTCAATACAATTAACACCCAAAGCAAGAAGATTTCAGTCTGAAGCCTTGGTTAGTTAGAAATGTGTATGACATGGTGTTAGAACACTTAAAGAAGTTTAAAATGATCTTTTTCAGATGTTCTCACAGTTAACTAGCATGTTACCTCATTTACCTTTTGTCACCAATTACTGGTAAACAGGTCCACAATTACTATAAATATAGGGAGCATGGGCAAAAGTTTGTAATTCCTGAATAAACATGGCATAATTTGCTCAGTTAAGCAAGGTAAAAAGACAGTCTATAATTACTTTGAGAAATGAAGTCAGAAGGTCAATCTTTAAGACAAATTGCAAGAACTTTGCAAGTGTCAGTTACTGCTGTAGCCAAGACTATCAAACGATATGAAGACACTGGCACTCAGAAGGACCGAAAAAGGTCCAGCAGGCCAAAGGTGACCTCAGAATCAGAAAATACCTTTACTAGGGTCACAAGTCTGAGAAACCGGCAACTAACTGTCCCTGAAATATAAGCTGAGCTCAATGCAACTAGAAGTACAGATGTTTTAACATCAACTGTTCAGAGGAACATTTGACTGGTACTGTATTGCTATAAAATATAATCATGTATGTGTTAATACATAAATTAATAACACACAGTATGTTATTTAATTATATACTATAAATATGGCATCAACAAATAACATTTTAGAGATATTCAGGCATACACTCATTAAATTCAAGCTGCAGATCTAGCACACACTCAGGCTGTCTGGATTGGACACAGTACTCAGAGGACCATCAGCAATGGTAGGAGTCAGGGGTGGAATGTACATCTAGGTAAACAAAACTTGGGGACGAACAGCTTTTATATGATGCAATTTATTTTCAGCTTCTTAGAAGATGTTTTCTTTTTGCATGCTTTTGTCAAATAAAACAAAACAGAAAAACACAGGCTTGTTACAGCAGCTGCAGATTAGCTTCAGGCTACATCCTGGGAAGAAAACATTACATGTGTGGTGGAGTAGCAACAAGGCCGGAACAACACAGCATCTACTAAGACAGCTCTGGCTGCATCAGGAGATCAAGAACAACATAACACAGGATGATAGTGCCTCTTAGTGGTGAAAACAAACTAGTGCAGAAGACAAAGGTCTCCAGAAGTTCTCAATAAGGTGGCGTGAAGGGCACAGTGGTTAGCACTGCTGCCTTGCTGTGGTGGAGCCCTAGGCCCTGACTGTTTATTTGTGTCTGTGAGTGCCCTGCGATGGACTGGCATCCTGTCCAGGATGTACCTCTCCATGTGCCCAAAGCTTCTACACAAAATCACAGCAAAATAAGCTGTGTAAATAAGGATGGTGGGCAGCATAGCAGAATGGAGCATTTTCCTAACAGCCTGCCTAACAGCTCTTGGGCACTGGGATGGATTCAGACCAGGAGAACATTCTGTGTGTAGTTTCATGCTCATCATGTGGTTGAATGGGTTCTCTGCAATTTCTCAGGTTTTCTTACACAGTCCCAAAACAACGCAGTATAGGTTAAATGCCACCTCTAAATTTTAAGCCCTTCGTAATGTGTGAATGAATGCATATGCGCTCTGAGATGAACTAGCATCTCATCCAGAGTGTATCATACTGTGTGCCCAATGTTTGCCTGAACTCCAGTTCACTACAAAGGTTTCTTTTGGACTAAATGTTTATTGAACATAGAGGGGTATTTGAATGTAGTGCTAACATTAGTACAAAAAAATTAATGCATTCTTAGAACAGATCCACTTTGTGAAAAAAACTTGATTTTACATAAATTGAAGTTGCAGAAATGGTGTTTGACGATGTTTCTTTCAAGACTGTTTTACTTGTAGTGGCAGAAAACGATTTCAGTTGTAGTAGCAGTTTTGTGCCAGAATACATTGTGGAACCGCAAGTAGTAGTAGTAAATAATATTATTGTTGTTAGTATTTATTTTTTTTCCTGAAGTGTTCTTAAAATCCAGATTATTCACAGAATTATTCATTATGGATTTGGATCTACTGTAGGTCAACCTAGCTAAAAGTACAAAATTGAACACTTAACCAAAACGTAACAGTTACCGCAAACACTTAAGTTCAGTGCAATATGTTTGCTTTGCGATGCAAGTGTAGACTCGTAATGTATCGACCCTTTAAATAAAGATCACCTGCTGTAGCTTTATCTATTCCAAGTTGCAGGTTAGGCGACTGGACCTGGCCTTTCCAGTGTATTTTACTTTAAATGTGCTTAACAAACATAGCATATCTAGCTAGACAGAAAATATGTATAGTAAGTACTGATTTCAGAAGAAAAGCATTCATTGCAATACCATTATAACAATAAAAATAAAAGTCACGTTTACGATTATTTCTCACATCATTGTTTAAATTACTCATCTCGAATAATAATACATCTTATAATACGATTCTGTTTTACCTCTTTCTCGGATACCCCGTCTTCTACTCCAAGCAAAGCATACAGATTCTTCTCCAGCAGCTCTTTTGTTGTAGACATTTTCGTTATGTTTTATTTATTCCTTAAAACTTAAGTTCCTGTACAGTCCGTAAAAACCCACACACCATTTTTCCACTTTAACCCCATACGTCATGAGATATGTAGTACGTTGCATTCTGGGAATTGTATTATTTTGAACAACAAAGTGGCAAGTGGCCAAAATCCACGAAGAACTGCATGCTAGGATTTGTAGGTTTTTTAAAGATTTATGTTATGCAAATACAAATCCATCCATTTTCGGGTCACTTGCCCTACGCATGTACACATAAAAAAATAAATTAATGTAATGTACATTGCAGTCCAGTTACAATGTATATATACATCGGTAATGGCAACAAATTAATATGGTGCAAAGGGTGATTTAATGACGATAGAAATGTGAGATAACCAACTGAAATACTAATACAGCACAACACAAGTTTAGAAGTATTAATACAGCAAAGCAACATAATGCAACTACACATTTAAGTTTCATTTTGGAAACGGTGTACACATGCGCAGTTCAAAATAATCAGGTCACATTTAACTTAATTGTAGTTGAACAGATAGGTAGTATTTCCAACACTAGGTGGCAACACAGCCAAACTATTGTGTAGCAGTGTAATTTCACATGCGATAAAAGACCGGTTTAGTACAAAATAATATTTTGAATTAAGATGTTTTCAGATTGTTTGTGAAGATTTCCCTTTGCCATTATTTAATTATTGTTAAAATATTTATATAACCACTAGTAATTGATAGTAATTTTCACTATCCTTACTTTTTTATTTTCTGAAGTGAGCAGATAATTCAACTAATTCAGTAAGACTTGTGCATTCCATCCAAAATCTCTCTTCTCTAAGAAGCCCTAGTGTAGCTGGAGCTCTCGACCCGTTATTGTGGAGGTGTAAAGGTCCTTGTGATATCTAAGGTGTGGTCAGAGCTAACTGCACAGGGCTCATTGGTCAAGTACTGTAGCTGTATTCAGATGGCCAGGTGTAGGGATGCACTGTGTATTCACACCCTGTTCTAGAACCTCCTCTCAGCCTGAGACACAGTAAGACCTGTCTCTCACTCCCACGTCATCTCTGAACTGTTTGGTCCATTAACAAATGTCTGTGCAAGGACCTTTGATCAACGAGAAGCCTGAAAAAAAGGAAAGTCAACATGGCCCCTGCCACCTGTTGTCTCATACCCATTTGTTTGACTCTGTGACATTTGCATTACATTCATGGTGGTGTTCAGAAGAGCTATACGTGAAATTAAACACACAAAACATCATAAAGTCCAACATCTAACGTTTTAAATGGTGTGTTCTACTCCAGTAAGCATCACTCCTGCAGTTTCCAGCTGTTACTTGATGTTTGCAATGTAGGCTGTTCCTTTTACTCTGTCACTTTACTATCATTGAGTAAAGGGAGGTGGTATGTTCCCAGATGTTTAGCATTCTTTATCAATTATTCGTGTTTCATCCCCTGTCTGTTGAGTCTGAAACAAGCAACACGTTTCTTCCCTCTTATTAAAGCAACTCATTGTCATTTTCCTGAGGAAAATAAACATTTGCATCTTCTTTGACATGAAGAAATGAAAACCTCTTCCCATATGCTCACTTATAATTCTCTTGTTTCTGCTTTTTTGAAAGCTATACACAGATGAAGATTAAAAATTGACTGTGATAAGAAACTTCATGCCTTCATTATCCTCTGTTTACAATAACTTACAATGGATTTGAATGTAAACTCAAGTCTTTTAAATGAAAAATCACAACTTTTGGGCGAGTGCATGTTCCTTGCCTACAGCCATATCACCTTGCAACTCACAACTGAAAACCCACTGAAGCTCAGCAGGTATTAGCCTGGTCAATACCTGGATGGGAGACCTCCTGGGAAAAACTAAGGTTGCTGCTGGAAGAGGTGTTAGTGGGGCCAGCAAGGGGTGCTCACTCTATGGTCTGTGTAGGTCCTAATGCCCCATATAATGACAGGGCCACTATAATGTAAAAAGTTGACATCCTTTGAACGAGATGGAAAACCGAGGTCCTGATTCTCTGTGGTCATTAAAAATCCCAGGGTATTTCTTGAAAAGAGTATGGGTGTAAACCTGGTGTCCTGGCCAAATTTCCCTTTGGCCTTTACCAATCATGGCTTCCTAATAATCCCCATCTAAGAATTAGCTTCATCATTCTGTTCTCCTTCCCAATGATAGCTGATGTGTGGTGAGCGTACTGGCGCACTATGACTGCTGGTGTGTCCTATAAGTGGAGTGTCCAAAAAAGTGCTACATAAGTGTAAGCAATTATTATTATTAAAACTGTATTATAAAATACTAATGAGTACTTTAAGGTATACAATTGCCTTATCAACCATAGTGTTTTGGCTTTTTATTTTTACCTCTTTTCACATCCATGCCACAGTGTATCATAGCGCTTTGTGCTGGGGGTATATTTTTTATAAAAATATGGATTATAACCAAAACATATTGAACATTCTTTTCCAGTTAGACTATGTAGGACAGTATTCAGAGCTGAGTTGCTCCAACACATGCAATATTACTACATCTGATGGACATACCCCCACAACACTCCAGAAAGACCCTCTGATGGTCCATTCTACAGAAACTAGTTCTCATTTTCCCCATCTTTTCCATGGACAAGTGTATGTTTTCAACAACTTCATACCCCTCTATTTTAATCCTCACTAGAGCCACCACCCTTGTCCACTTTCTCCTGAAAAAGTGAACTAAAAGAAGGAACTTCTATGACTGCAAAAGTTTGAAAAATGTTCTTGTTGCAAAACTCAACAACTGACGTAGTCATTCTCATTTTAGCACAAACATCTCTCCACCCGTGCTTTTGCCTCTAGTCAGCTGAAAACCACCTCCTCCAGCATCTTCCTCCCCCAGCTTTCCATGGGAGGTGGTGTCTCAAAGTTCATCAAGATGGAAAAATCTTCTCTGTCCAGGATGCAGGAATAAATTCTTTTTCATGAGCATCATCAGAACTGAGAGACATGCCTACCGTCAGAGCCATGTTCAATTGTTCCTTCAGGGTCTTGTTAGTGACATTTTTATTGTCCTTCACAGGCTAAACTCTGACAGTCAGCGCTTACTTGATTACTGCTGCCTGGCTGACTTGGATCTGGGTAAGAGTAACCTGGACATGGGGACACTACCTTCTGAGGTTCCCCTCTTGGCTACACACTGCACACTGTTTATTATCAAGTAAGTCTTCAAGTATGCACATGGATCATGCATGATTATTCAAAACTTCACCCAAGCAAGCGAGGTCAATCAATCAATCAACCAAAGATTATTTATCAAATGCACAACAATAGTGTGTAACAGTAGTTGCTGGCAATGAAATATCTTTTCTGTGGGGGGGGGAGTGGGAGATAAAAATCTGAAAATTAAAGTTTCAAAATACAGTTACATAATAGTGCAATAGATATTGAATAAACTCAGACATAAAGCTCAATATAAACAGAGCTGCGGTGTGTCCAGGGTGTGTGCAATACATTGTGTCCAAGTAGTGCAGTATGCCAAATACACTGAACACTGTATGTCCATGTAGCCATTACATTTGATTTGTTGAAGGAACTGCAGCTTGGCTATTAAGCAGTCTTATTGCCAGGTGGTAGAAGCTGTTCTGTAATCTGTTAGCCTTTCACCGAATCCTTCAATACCGTTTACCAGATGGTAGGAGAGAAAACAGTTTTTGACTGGGATGACTGGGGGCCTTGAGAATGGACCTGGACTTCTTAAGACATCTAGCTGAGTAGATATCCTAGATGTTTGGTAGCTCACAGCTGGTAATGAGCTGCGCGGGCTTCACCACCCTGCACAGAACTTGGGGATCCCAGGCGGAGCCATTTCCATACCAGGCTGTGATGCAACCAGTCCGGATACTCTCAATAGTGCACCTGTAGAAGGTGGCTGGGATGTGTTACATGGTGACAGGTCCCCATTTGAGATGAAAATGGCCTCTTTTCTGCTATGCCCTGATTCAGCTGCCACAATGCTTCAAAGAATTATTACAGAAAATTGCAATGTGATCAGCAGTCCCATTCCTCTGCAGGCAAAAGTTGTGCTTTGGCATCAGTTTCAGGAACTGGAGCACAATTCTCCTTACAAACTCTATTCAGAGAAGCATTATCTCCTGCTAATCCTTCTTCTACTTGCACCTAAGGCCATTTTTCTTTCTGATCCAAAAGCTCGACTGTGAACTAAGAGAAATGACGGGCATTGTCACTGAGTGCATGCTTTTGGAATTGAAAAGGAGTTAATGCTACAGTGTATTAGTTCTGCTCAGACCTCCCTGTCTTTCCAAAAATGTACACGGCGAAGACTGAGTGTAAGGCTGGGCCTCGCACAGAGCTGCCAAGCAGGTTAGCTCATTTTATTTAATTAAGAATGGGAGTTAACAATGACATTATATCATTAACCTGTGGAAACTTACACTGCAATCAGCTCATTGTCCATGACACTTGTTATAATTATGTGAATTATATAAAGACGTGTTGAATGTTAAGCCAGGCTATACTGGAAATACTATTCAGTTTTTATTAAAGTAACTTATGTAAATAATATCAAAAGTGCTTTGTGCAAATAGTAGTATTGTTCAGTGGAATTGAGATTGCAGTTGAAAGCTTCAAAAATTTTAATTCCAGTTTATATTCAATTCAAGTTATAACTGACTTATGAATTAATGAACTTACCTAAGCTGTTACCTACAGTATATAACAGGTATTTATTCAGCTAAACAGGTATAATATAATTGGTGTATCAATGCCATCCTTAAATACAGTTCTTCTGTATTTATAATTTTACTTCTTCCATTTATTTTTTGAGAGCTTGAACTATAGGCTGGAAATGGCCATACATAGTATTAATGCAGATAATGGGATTTGTCACTGTAAAACATGAAGAGAAGAATACATTGGCTGCCATAAAAAAAAAGATAAGCCATTGTTTTGTACTTCCTTCGGTGGGGCACAAGGAAGGGAAATAGGAAAAGCTCAGCTGGCTCAAATCCAGCGTAAGTTATTCAGCATAGACTCAAAAACCAATAGCACAGTTTCTATTTTTTTCCCCAGGTCTGTC